ATGGTAGATTATTCCATAAAACAGGTGCTTGATAACTAAAAGAGCGCTGACCATAAGAGACTAGTTGAACAGTTTTGGGCTTTAAAAGTAGTTTATCTGATGTACGTAATGTTCGACCAGGTGTATAAAGTTCTAAAAGATCTGAGAGGTAAACAGGAGCTAAATTATTTAAACATTTAAAAGTAAGTAATACAATCTTAAAATCAATTCGATATTTAACAGGTAACCAGTGTAAATTATATAAAACAGGAGTTATGTGGTCACATTTCTTAGTTAAAGTAACAAGTCTAGCCGCAGTATTCTGTACTTTTTGTAATTTATCTATAAGCTTTAAAGGTAAACCAACTAAAAGTGAATTAAAGTTATCTAATCGAGAAGTGACCAGAGAATTAACAAGTGACTTAGTGGCCTCTACAGTTACACATTTACGTATTTTACCTATATTTCTGATATTAAAATAGCACAATTTACAAATATTATTTACTTGAGCTCCCATAAGCATAAAACTATCAAAGATTGCGCCAATATTACGAGCAGAATAAGATGAAAATATATCACAATTACCAATTACAACAGGGGGGTTATCATGTGCAGATTTACTTAATTGATGCCTTGAGCCTAATAACAAATATTCGGTTTTATCATCATTCAATTTTAGAAAGTTCTTTGACATCCATTTTCTAATTTCACTAATACAGTTCTCAAGTTGCAATTTTGATAAATTGAAAGAAGATGGACAATCAGGTGTAAATGAAATATGTAATTGAGTATCATCGGCATACAAATGAAGGCTGAGACCATATTTTCTGACAATATCGCCTAATGGTGACGTATAGAGGGTAAATAAAATCGGACCAAGAACAGAACCTTGGGGAACCCCAGATGACAAAACAGATTCAGACGACGATTTGCAATTAACTAAAATACACTGTTTTCTACTCACAAGATAGCTTTCTAAAAGATTTAATGCAGAGCCACAAATACCGAATTTAAATTGAAGTCTACGTAGAAGAATGGAAGGGTCCACCGTGTCGAAAGCAGCAGATAAATCTAATAAAATTAAAAATGTACATTTTCTATTATCAATTTCCATTAAAATATCATTTGAAACCCGGGTTAAAGCTGTTTCGGTACTGTGAAATTGTTTATAAGCACTTTGAAATGGTTCATACAAACATTTATCATCTAGATGGGCCTTTATCTGAGAAGCAATACATTTCTCCAATATTTTAGAAATAAAACTTAAATTAGAGACAGGCCTGTAATTTTTAAAAACATTAGGATCCAGTGTAGACTTTTTAATTAAAGGGGTAACATAAGCTCGTTTGAAAACGATGGGAATAGTAGCGGAGGATATACAAGAATTAATAATATTGGTAAAAACTGGAATAACTTCGTCTAGACAGTCCTTAAGAACAGAAGTCGGAACAGGATCTAATGAACAAGATTTAGGAGCAGACGATTTAATTAGCTTTAAAACAAAAGATTCACTAACCAAGTTAAAATTTTTTAAATAAACAGAATTTTCTAACTTATCAAAATCATGAGCGTTCAAGTCAACAGTTTTATTTAAATCATCAAGTTCAGTTCGTATTTTCTGTATTTTTATTTGAAAGAAATCAGACACGATGGTTGTGGACCCTCTAGAGGTAACAATTTTTATCCGATTTTGATGAAACTTTAAACATATCTTTATATCCCACAGATCACAGTCCCTTTTGATATTTGCGCATTTCAGACCATAACTTTTTGGATTATTGCCCCTGATTGTACAAAAAAATCCCGTTTGTTTTTAGCATGTTCTCTATCCTTCTCTTGCAAAATACCGGAATATCCCAAAGATTTCAGACCATAACTTTTTGGATTATTGCCCCTAATTGTACAAAAAATCCCACTTGTTTTTAGCTTGTTCTCTATCCATATCTTGCAAAATGTGGGCGTATCCTTTCTGGCAGTCGCTGTTTTTTGTTTTTTTTTTTGGGGGGGGGGGGGTTACCGGAATATCAAAATTACTGTTAAATGCTCGGATTATGATCACATGATATGACTGTTATTGTAGTCGATAAGTAAGTTGATTGACTTCTTAATCACTTAATCAACAAGTAATAATTAATAATTGATATTTGGAGCTAAGCAGCTGAAAATGATAAAATACAGATTTGAAGATAAGAAAGTGAAAAGAGTTAATTCCAAAAAGATAATTAATTAGAAAGTCAGAAAGGTTTCTTCTCTGAAAGGAAAAGTCGGATAAAATTTGAGAGTTCAAGATAAAGGCTTCATTGCTGAAAGGAGAACGCAGCGATAATTTGAGACTTGAAGATTAAGAAACTAAAGAACAGATGTTAGAAAATGGGTGTATATAATATTCAGCAAATTATGAAAATAGTATGTATACACACAACCGCAACCGTTTTAATAGTACAAATTAATATGACATAACATCACTGATTTTTTTGAACAGCAAAAGTATCGGAAATGAAGATTTGAGAATATTCATTTCGAATCACATTCGGAAACATTCTCATTTATTAAAGACGTGGTAAACCAGAAACCAGATTTGAAAATTACCATAGCTACCCATGACCGAGAATATAGCGAAATACATGAAACAATGGATGGTATCATTGCATGTTAACATGATATATTCACAACATTACGAAAACTGCTCTGAAACATATCTTTTCAACATAACGAAAACCGCTCTGAAAGATATCTTTTCAAAATTACGAAAAATGCTCTAAAAGATATATTCTCAAAATTACGAAAAATACTCCGAAAGATATATTTTCAAAATCACGAATTGATATACTCTTGGGAAAGATATATTTTCAAATTTACGAAAAATACTCAGAAAGATAAATTTTCAAAATTACGAAAAATTGCTCTGAAAGATATATTTTTAAAATCGAAAGGTCTTTAGTCATTTCGGGACCAATATATAGTTCAAATTTATTTCAAACATTATGAAAACTACTCTTAAAGATATCTTTTCAACATAACGAAAATCGCTCTGAAAGAAATCTTTTCAAAATTACGAAAATTACTCTGAAAGATATATTCTGAAATTACGAAAAATACTCATAAAGATATATTTTCAAAATTACGAATTAATATACTTTTACGAAAATACCCTGAAAAATATATTTTCAAAATTTCTCTGAAAGATGTATTTTCAAAAGTATATCAAAAGGTTTTTAGTCATGATGTAAACTCCTCAAATGAGAAGGAACCGGAAGGCAACGGAAAGAACAACGAGATATATAAAACTACAATACTGGCTCTACGCCTACAACCAGATTTGGATGTTTGGAAATTATGTTTATTGATTATAAAGTTAAGAGAGAAAGAGGAATGGAGTTTAACGTCCAGACGACACAATCTATGTCAATTCGGGACCAATATAAGCAATGATTCAATTTTATTTCAATAAACCGGAGGACTCAGCATAAACCCACGCGGTTGGTTGTGTTTCAAAGGTCAAAAACTAAAGAATATTTTTTTTTTATTTACAAGGCTAATAACAATTAAAATTCAAACATTAAATGTTTGCGAAAGATCATATAATTAAATGTTTCTTTTTCCCGTAGTCTGTTTACTACAAATCTATTTACCACTGCATGCTAATGACCCCTAAGCAAACGAATTATTGAAATGAAATTGAACCATGTTAGTCCCGAAATAACCTAGTTTGTGTCGAGTGGACGTTAAACCCTATTTCTCACTGTCACCTTAATAAAACTATTACACACAGATAGTTCTACAACTGAAGAATTGGTTGATTGTATTTAGATATAATACGAAGAGTGGCATTTCTGTAATACGGCTGTTTTGATTTAGACTAAAACTTTTTCCTCGATATGTCCACACGTTTGCGATGCAGTACAATTCTTACCGGGAATTCAGTTATTTCCCTTTAACATTATAAACGCTTAAACGCCTCCCTTAACGTGTTCCCGAAGTAATGTTCAGCGAGATCAGGCCTTCTGTAGTCTTTATTTTATTAATAAAACACGTACATAAATAGAATTAGATAAAAGTTCATGTTATACATTGTAAACTTAAATTTTAAAAGCTGGTTTATTTCAGCCCTAAGTTACTATGGTAAAATATGCTTCCAATCACGTCCGCTTTATAAAGTCTTTTGGACAATCGCCATGACGTCATTTAACTGTTTAGTTTTCATTTTGAGCGTGAAACAGTGCAGATAGGGTAAGAATAATATTTCTTGTGGTTATTTGATTTTGGTGTGAAATATTTCAATGAAAAATATTTTCTGAGCATTTTTCCCTTTATTTCAATATACTGTTTACGTTTATAAATTGTATCTATCGTCTGATGTCTTAACACACAACTTACAAACTTTTTAGAACTGTTGTCGGCTATATTGTACCTTACGTTTCTCCATCTTCAGTAGAAGGCTTGATCTCGCTTTAACACCGTACTTCTTATTAATGCTAGATGTTGTAAAAATCGCGGTCGTTGCTTCAGGACCATGACGTTTCTTCCGCATAAAGATATGCATTATGTGTGATTTAGAATTAGATAAATTAAAAAGCTGGCCCTTCTGGCTATTATAGTTCAAAAATAGATAAACACGTTTATTATGAGTGTTGGAAAATGTAGCGTAGATTGTTTATTATCGTAGCAAAAGTACTGGACAAACGAGACTAAGTCTCGATTATCCATTTTATCGTTATCTTTTATTTTTAATCTCGCGGGTTTGCCACCTAATGCTCTAGAGAGTTGATAATGAGCTTTTCATGTTAATATTAATGTCTAAACCAGAGTTTGTATAACACTTGAGGCCAAATAAAGACCTACAATAGGCAGATTTAGCATTTACATAATGAATCTTTAAACAGAAAATGGCGTGGGGCACTTGTTCCTATGGCCTGAACAATTATTAAGATTTTACTGTATAGCTGAAAAAGTATTTAGATTTTTATTAACATAACTGCTTACAGATATACAGCTATCTCAAACAAAACAGAAAAACAAAATTATCAGTCCCATAATTTCACAAAGTTTTATTCATTTATCATGTTTATATTTCAACAAAACGATGAAAAGTAGCACTACTACAAAATAACATATGGCATATATTGCACTTAGGGTATATTGAAAACAAAAATAGATCTGAGAGATATTATCACTTGGTAAAAGAAAAATAATTCTCTATTTAGCGCAAATTAACTAAGCTTACATCATCCGTGTTCAAATTGGATTCTGTGGACAATTTGAGATAAATCATCCGAGCTATCGGTAAGATTTCGACATTTTAATTTTCAATTTACAGTCCTAAACATTTTGTAATGGTTTTCATGGAGTTGAACGGACGCTTGTTAAAACTACCTTAGTGGAAGGGAAGGGGAGAGGAGGTGTGTCTGGGGTGGGGGGGGGCTTAGTGGAGGTAAGCTTTGGGATTTTTGATACTTAACAAAGTCTTTGAGGCTATCTTGAATATAATATTATTCAAAAATATTCATACTTAATGGCTTGGTGAGAATGATATTTCCTCAGTAAAATGTTATGAAAATAAAAAATCTAAAGAGGACATTACAGAACTACTTTACCAAAAGTGCAGCTACATCTGACATACAATGTCAAGTCCAACGAATTTATATAATTTTACGGTAGGCTTTAAATATTGCTTTATAGTAAATAATATATTATGCTATATCTAAAGCTAATTCAGTTAACTGTTTATGGAACTACTCTTAAGAGAAAAAGTCAAATCTTTGACAGATGGTACCAAAAAACTTTTCTAGTCACAACGAATTAAACTCGGATCCTTAAAGATGCATTATGTAAGATTTAGATAAAGAGCAGATCCGTCTTGCTACAATAGTTTAAAAATAGATAATGACAAATATAGTAATAGTATTATGTAAGATTTAGATAAATAGCGGGACGTTCTTGCTATACTAGTTCAAATATAGACAATGGAAAATGAATGTATTGAAAATTTCAACATAATGCATCTTTAAATATATATAGAACGTTGATAAAATATTTGAACCCTTGTTAATCGACTACTCACAATAATAAAAACAAACAGTACAAGATAACATTGAATAAGGCAGTGAACCTTTAAACATGAATACTTATTGAGTATAAAAGTAATTCTAAAACTTAGCACCTCGACCCGTGAAAAAATACATAGAAAATAAATCCTTAGCTATATAAGAGCATCAAATCTACTTTAATATTTATATTATAGCTAAGGTCAATATTAATAATGTAGCTAAGATCATGATTAATGTTATTAATATAGTTAAGATCATCATACCTACACACTAGTACATAGTATTATAAAAGATCACCATATCTACACATTATTATTAATACGTGTATCTAAGATCGTCATATCTACACAGCATTATTAATGTAGCTAATATCATTATATCTACACATTATTTTTAATACACGTAGCTAAGATCATCATATCTACACAGTATTATTAATGTAGCTATGATCATCATATCTACACAGCATTATCGATACATGTATCTAAAATCACCATATCTACACAGTATTATTATTGTAGCTACGATCACCATATCTACACATTAGCTAAGATCATCACATCTACACAGTATTATAAATATATAGCTACGATCATTATATCTTCATGTACACAGTATTATTAATACATGTAGCTAAGATCATCATATCTACATTATTAATGCATGTAGCTAAGATCACCGTATCTACACAGTATTATAAATACATGTAGCTAAGATCATCATATTATTAATAATGTAGCTAAGATCATCACATCTACACAGTATTATTAATGTAACTAAGATCATCAAATCTACATGCATACGTAGTATTGTTATAAATATAAGTTGATCATATTTACAAAGTATTAAAATATAGCTAAGATCGTCAAATTTACACAATGTTATTGAGATAAACACTGTAAAATCTATATACTGTTATAATGACTATAAATATGTCCATTTTCAAGTCAAGTTTATTAAAGAGATAAAAAAAAACATAATTATAAATATCAAAGGATTTCTACTAGATATAATAATATATTTATACACAATTCAAATAAAGAATAACTAAATACATGTAATTAAATACGTTGATTAACTAATGACTAATGTAATCCCGAGGTATTCTCCCTAGTCCATAGTTTAAATACACTGATCTTGTGTACATATGTCTGTTTTGTTAATTATTGTTTACATGTATTAATATCTGCCATGTTTATTGACTTTGTTTCATTGACCACCTACGACAATTATATTAATTTATATTGTATTGTAGAGGTCTCTTTGTAAGTTTGAGTAACTGTTTGTCCGACCCCTTTAATTTAAAGTAATAAAATATGTTTAAATCAGCTAATGATGTACTTTTTAAACCCCTCATACGTCTACAATACATATTAGATATGTCAATGTATATCATGTAATTAAAATTAAATTATATTTTCATTCTAATATTGTTGCTGTAGTAGAACATTAAAAATAAAATGAGGCATACTGACGTCTGGAGAAATCTATTTCGGTTTTGGGTAGAAAACGCCAGTGTGTTTAAGAACGTCTTGGTGTGAATTGAGCTATGTTTTCATTGGCCGTTTACAGTACACAAATAAGAAAATGATAAAATTTGCCAGACATTAAGGAAAAACGAATTTATATCAGATAGAGCGATATCTGAATACATGTTTGGAAGTACTAGTTATTATAGAAATCAGGAACAATACCTTCAACGAAGCCAACATTCAAAGAAATAAAATAAAATAAAATCTACAAAGCAGATTAAAAGAACCAACGGCCAGCGAAACCCATAGACATCAACAACAATATTCAATTTGCAAATAATTTGATAAATACACCATGAAAATAAAAACAAATATGCCTCAAATTTTTTAAAATGAGTATTCTTTCGGAAATAAAACAGAAAAATCACGCAAGCCTCTGCATAAAGGCCAACTGAAACCATGCGATTATTGATCGAATTCTTTCTTGTAAATGTAAGATTACGGAAGAAGTTAAAATTGCATTACATTTCGTTAGAGGCAAATTGGTTTTAAAATTCTCATAATCCACTACATAATGAAGCGTCGTATACCAATACAGATAATTTGATTAGTCAGTAAGATCATGTGGTCTTCAAAGGAAATACAACACCCTGATTCTTTTTCCCCGGGTGACATACATACAGTATCAATCAAAGTGACGAAAAATCGCACCACGTAGGTTGGCCTTAAAAAGCACACAACAATTAGAAACAAAAAATTGAAGAATAACGCAGAGACTTTAAAACGCATGAACTCTAATGTTTTATTACTGGGCTGGGTTTTCTTTTGTGGTTTTGTGGGGTTTTTTTGTACAAAATGTTCCTAATGAAATAAAAGAATTAAATCTCAATGGATTTGGGTCAAAAATACAATTGTCATTTGATTCTGGACTTTATGCATTGCCTGTTTAGTGTGATGATACACTGCCTTTGTCCAATGTTTTGCGTCTGTAGATAAAGGTAATGTTGAGACATATAACCGATTCATATGACAACTCTTTGCATCAGAAATGAAACTAAAATTAGTAAATAAATCGACTTCCGCTTAATCTTTCGTATAGAGCTTATCCGGTTACTAATGACAATCGGCCCAATTCAACACCATTTTGACTAAAATCAAAGAGATTTGACTACTTTAAAAAAATTAATTTCCTCCATTCTCATTTAAATCCTTTTAGTTGCATTTTTAAATAATCCCCGTAATAGATACATCCGTCTTTATTTGAGTCCATCTCTTGGATTTTCTTCTCTAATGCAGGGGTCACAGTAATCCCCAAGACTGTCTCGAGTCCTTTGATGATGTCATCCTTAGAGGCCCATCCACTGGAATCCCAGTCAAAGGCAGCGAAGACACTCCTACAGCTACTGGTCCTGAAGTAAATATAGAAAACTATTGTAAAACAGAGAGCCCACATGGGCTTAATTGCACATTATGTGACGAAGGGTTGGGCAAGATCACTATAATATTAATAATTTTTATTTGGGGGGGGGGGGGGGGTCTGTCGACGAGAAAATGACTTACTACGGGTTCTTGTGAACAAGCATGATTGTAAAGTCAGCATGCCGACAAAATGGCGATGTAGTGAGTAAGAAAATATCTTAATTTCCCTCTTAAAAAGTACCCCGAAACTGACATATGGGACCGATCATTTTCTTTTCGATAGACATAGATAAGCACCAATCAAGCAACACATCTACTAAATGTGTGTACCAAATTAGCTTACTTGCAAATATGTCAATGCTAAGATCGATTTGTTTTTGTACTCAAACCGTGTACCGAGTCAATCCGCGACATCGGTAGTAAACCTGCGGGTTCCACCTCTCATCGCACCCACGCCTACACTTGATCGCCCCCATCTAAGACGTTTACCTGGAAAAGTTTCCATACGTATTTGGTCTAATTATGATAATAACATAATATACTTACGCATTTTCTAATTCCTTATCTTTGATCATTAATCTGATGTATTCATCTATTGTCATAAATGATGAATCATATTTACCACATTCCTTCCATACATTCTAAATATAGAAACAAAAAATAACAGTAAAATACACATTCCTTCCATACATTCTAAAAATAGAAATAAAAAATAACAGTATATTCAAAAGTACATTTTGTTTTTTAGATATATTATGTACTTCCCAAGTGATGTATAAATGAACAATTGTATATAACGTACCACTTTTGTGCATCAACAGTGTTAATTCACTGATTAATTGTAGGACGATATCCATAAGGACGCTTACTAGATCCAACTGGTCGCACCAGCAAACATCCAGAGCAGACAAGCTAAACAACACCCCAAAATTACCGTTGAAAGGAAGCACATCGGTTAACTTGGGAATTGGGATCTGGCTGTGCCTTGTCGAGAGATAGGCCTAAAGCCTAGGACACGCTAAGCGAACTTTATTCGTCTATAGTTTGGCCGAAGTATTCGCCGCCCAAATTACCTGCAGGCAACACCGTGAACACGCAAAGTGAATACCTATACCGATTTGTCGTCGACTAACTATACGGAAACTTAATTCACGCATCCGTTGATGCGCTTTTGGCCACATAATATAGTTGTATACTCTTCGCAGGACTGGACACATTCGCTGAACGGGTCGACGGCGATAAATATTCGGGCTTTAGGTATCAAACATGTTTGATATTGACGAATGGTGTCGGCCCACGCTCGGGCCAATGTCGCAGGTCTAGACACACTAGACGAAATTCGCTGGCGATGGGGTCGCCAGAATGATTCGCCCAGTGTGTCCTACGCATTAGGCGCAGATTTTGACGCGCCGCCTAATCTATATCAGCACCTGCAAGAATCACGCGGAAAAAGATCAAAGCGGCGAATAGCCTAATGCAAGGCGTTTCAGGGAGGCAATCGACGTGAAAATTCTCAAAACCCTCGAACCATTAAACATACATTATGTCTTTAGGCCTGAAAAGTTATCTAAATTATTAATTAGACATTAATCAACTTATCCAAACCATAATCAACTCTAGATACCATCGCTAGCCTGCGATATTTAATTAGCCGATTAGAATACATTTTTTGAAAAATAATTAAACGTTAAAATGGATAATTGAGACTTTATTCTTTTCTTATCGTGCCTACTTTAGCCTAAAACTCACGATTCAGTGTGGAGCCATTTTACTGAAATTTTCAGCATATTCTATTTACGGTATCTATTTTTTTAACTATTATAGCGACACAATATCTAATCTCCCATAATGCCCCGTTAAACTAACGACCAAAACAGAGCACCATCGTTCCGAAGCTCTTTAAATACCAATAACGTCAACAAACAAATGTGCGAAGAATTGTCACAGTTTTAGCCTCACTCCACTCTAACCCTTTTCATGTATCATGTATGCACCTAACTGAGCAGACATATTGTCTCAGAGCTTCTGATTTTCTCAAATTCTCGGGTAATCCCCTATAGCTCACAACAAACTTGACGTTGTCTCCACCTTGGACCCCCCCCCCCCCTCCTCCACCTCTACTTAAATTCTTGAACACGCCTCTGCTACATCAAAATAACCGAATAACTATATATTATTTTTATATTACTTACCTTAGCACCCTCAACGCCTAGATGGTATCCTAAACCCACAAGTAGTTTGACGAATTCTGAGTAACAGAGTCGATTATCTTTAGCCAGATCCATACATTCAAACTCGGCTCTATAATACAAATCATTTATCTCCGATTGAGATAAAGAACCTTGTTTATGCAGAGCTGCCATGTCCTGTTCCTTCTTCTTCCTGAAACGAAAGGTTAAAGGTCAACGTCAGATTTTTAAAATTTTGTCCAAAAGCCCTACCCCTCTATACTACTACTACTACTACTACTACTAATATACATGTACTATTAAAATACAGCTCGGTGGTCAGGACACATAATCCTCCATCGACTATTGGTCGGTTGTAATGGCAGCAGTCGGCATTCACCCATTCGGAACACAATGATTCTAACGGACAGGAAATATAAACTGATAGACAGCACGTTATATGATGTAATCAGTGAAAATCAAAAAATAAATAAGTTGGACAACCAATGACAATCTCAATACAATCTTAAAGGCGGGTTTCATTTATGGGTGTAGAAAAGGGTTAAACATGTATTGAAAAACAAAAACATGTATTGAAAAACAATCCCAAAAAACAAACCTTGAATAAATAAGAAACAAAATCGATTGAACAAATAATACTTTAAGTTTGACAATAGAAGGCTGTGGGTGTCTTTGAAATATTCTTATTTAACGTCCGCTTCTACCGATATGATATCGTGGGCTAAGAATAGCCATGGAATAGTGCCTTTCTGCAAGTCATTTAAATTTGCAATCTAAATCACAACGATTGTTAATTGCCCAACAAATTGAGGGTATATACTATTTTACGCGTAAAATGTTATCAATATATCCGTGCATAAAAGGAATGACCTAGTTTTTACGAAAAATAGAATCATTTTTTACTATATTTTATCATTAGCTTTTAATCCTAACAATGAATTCTCTGTACCATGCAACCTTCTAGAATTATATTTCAAGTTCATCAGTATGTGAGCCCAGTTGGTCAGACGTGTGTCTGTGGAGGTGGCTCGCGCAGAACATACTTTTTTCAACTAGATTCATCGAAAGAACGCCAACAAACATACGTGTGCGAAGAATTGTCACGGTTTTGGCCTCACTCCACTCTAATCCTATACATGTATCATGTATGCACCCAGATTTTATCAAATTCTCGGGTAATCCCCTAGAGCTCACAACAAACTTGAACACGCCACTGTTAATTTAGACACTATTTAGTACAACCAGATCTAGAACGGAACACAAAATTGGTATATCTCAACACTGTCAATGGACTAACAGACGACATTCGACAGGTATCCTCTTATCTTTATCAAACACGGATTGTTTTCCATAAAAATTTTGTTCTTGATTTGTTTCTCAATCGCTAAATTACGGTGACCTAATAGTGTCATTCGTTAATTTATACCTTTTTGTAGTAATTTACCTCATATGAGAAAGATTCACCCTGCAATACAATGAACGGGTGTTTCGCAATGAAAACTATGGTAAATACAAAAACCCATGAAACACCTTTTTTCGCGGTGGAAACCAATTCTCCGCGATAGAGAACCCTTTTTTATAAGTTAACGAATGGCACCAACAGGCTACCGTACTAAATGTCACGTAAAGATTTCATCCCACAAATCCGCCGATAAAATCAGATCAACCATTTTATTTTTCACACAAATCAAAGAAATATCGCCTTTTGAAAAAAAGAAAATAAATGTCAAAAATTACCCTTCAAACCTCTAATGTGATACCAAAAAGACAATGGGTAGTAAGGCTATCTTTGTCCGTGCAAGAAATATAGCGCCCTGTAAGTTTGAAACCCAGAAAAGGATTGTGACCCAGATTCAAACTGATTGAACCAGATTATCTCAGATGAGCAGCGAAGCGGCTGTTATTGGAAAAACTAATATTAGCACCAGTAGTATTTATAAATATCCAGATCACTGACCTCATTTGGCTTTCAAAATTACAATAACTAATGTGCAGGGTTATTGAGTTAAAAACTATAAAAGATTTCGGGAGCTTATAGACTTATGATTTGATTTGATTTATTTAAGCGGGAGAAAATGTGCCACCCAATTTAAAAGATTACAAAAAGTGGATTTCTGTTCGGTTTAAAATAAAAATAAATAAAACCGGAAATTTATGCATAATGATATACCCACAATTCATCCTCATCCGGAACGATCTCCACACCATCTTCAAGGATAGCAGTGGGAAATGCTCGATGTTCTAAAAACTCTTTCACTTCTTCACTATCTGGAATTTCCTCAAGATCGTTATGCGCTACAGGCACTGCTTTAGCATTCAGTCCTGCTTCGACCACTTCGACATTTTCCGTTATGTTCTTCGCATTATCCGTAATCTTTACAGGAACAGTTTCTTTAGCCACTTCGACTTGTTCCTTCTTCTTCTTCTTTTCTTCTTCTTTGGCATGGTCTGCAGCAATTACTGAAAGTGTTCTAGTTATTGTTTTTGGGTGTTTCTTTTCGACTATATCGACACTTTCCTTAACATTTTTCTCCATAATTAATTTCTCGTGAAATTCTCCTCCCTTCGGAGCACTATTTACGACATTTTCATTTTTCAAATCGGGTTGTTCAGATTTCAAAATAGGTACTTTGGCTTCATCATCTTCTACACAACAACAGCATGTAAACATTTTCTCAACCTGTATTTAAATTTCCTCTGATGACGAAGATGGTAATGATGACACTTGTTATTCCTCTTAACAATTCCTTTAAACACTAAATTAGGAACTGATTTTTGTTTTTAATCCACAAAATCAGAAAAGTTGACCTCTGTTGTTGCGGAAATGAACTCGTGTAGTAACTTCATTTAATACCCTAATAATATATATGACTGCTGCAAAAACGATAGCTTCGAAAATGTCTATCCAGTGTTTAAAATCTGCTTAAAATCAACAATCTAACAACAGCATATGTTGACCATATGAATCTGTGAATTCCTCTTACATCGTTTGAAGTACTAGTTAATCGCAAAAGTAAGGCACACACATCCAGTGAGCCAATGCTTCTAATACACAACAAACTAGGACTTGTTATTCGCGCATAAATTCAAATTAACCTGTCTTACACCCTCTCGTCTATGGCGAATCATAGTATTAAATTAGTATATCGATTATGGGCTTGTTCTGTATATTTTGTTGTGATTAACAATAACGTTTATATATTAAATTCACTTTCTAGCTATATTAATAACGCTTGTATGTATATATAGTATACATCCAATATAGGTTATATTAGTTTTTATTTATTTATCTAGTCTATCTGAATTATATGTACATCGTACACATCGACCGAACAAATAACTCCCGTTTTGTTTATATTTAAAAAGATAAGACGACCATTTTCAAACTTATATTAATTAATTGTTTTCCTTTTTTTTAAAAGTAGATTAGATATTAATGTTCAAAGTATGAATATCCATAAATTTGTAAAAGTATCGTTCTTCTTTGAAAGTCACAAAGGGCAAGATTGTTAAGATCAGATGTTAATATCAATTAAGCATATTATGGTTTATATCCGTTTGTCTTAAATATTCTTTAAATATAAAAATAACCTTTTGATGTCACGATTTTAAATTCATAATTTATATTTCACACTACACATTGACCGAGCTGTTTAAATGGTTATTTTTGAATAGTCTTTAAATTTTTCCAGTGGGTGTCCGGATGAATCTATCCATTAATATGCCCCAGTTATATCATTAAAAGAGCACGGCCCGTGAAAACATCCAGTGTTGTGTTGAAAAATAATCCATATTAAAAAGACTAAAAAAACATAATCCGACTGATCTACCTAAGCAAAACAATATAAGTTAAGAAAAGAATCGAATAAGATCATATTTCTTTAAAATGAAAACACACATAGTTCAAAATAAAACAAAACGCCAGCCCATTCAGTCACAACTTAAAAAGGCCCAACGTTGTGCAAAACTTGTCGGCCTATAATAAGAAATATTCAAGATTTTATTAACTCAAGAAATTTAGAACATATTTATATCGATTACCTAACATCTGTTACTGGGTATAATTAATAGACATTGATTTTTCTGTGTACAGTTAAATAGTCATGATAAAGAAAATGTCAAGAATTCAAGGATAAGTTCACACCATTGGACAGAATACGAACAGGGGTCGCACACTTGTATATCGATTAACAACAGACAATAACAAAAACAAAGCGTGATACAATGACAAATATTTATCCAAATACGAGAATAACTAGTTAAAACGTAAACAATAACAAATATCAATAAATATCACGAATAGGAAAATCAACTAACGTAACACCTCTATCAAACAAACCACGCTTTTATTAAAGTGCATTATATAATAGCTAAATATGCCTAATGCAGATCTTTCGTATGACCTCAATCTATCATCATCATCAATCAATATATATATATTTGTGACTGTCGTTTGTCTGTCTGTCTGTCTGTTCGGGGTTGGCGGCTACACTAGGTCTGCCCCGAGTCTGAAATTTGGGGTATAGGGGTAGCTCGGACCGGGGAGTAACATAGGCCAGGTGGCGTTAGTCTACCACTTCCGGTTTCGGAGTTATGACCCCCGAGCGAAGTCTGTCTGTTCGGGGTCGGCGGCTACACTAGGTCTGCCCCAAGTCTGAAATTTGGGGTATAGGGGTAGCTCGGACCGGGGAGTAACATAGGCCAGGTGGCGTTAGTCTACCACTTTCGGTTTCGGAGTTATGACCTCCGAGCGATGCCGGTCTGTTCGGGGTTGGCGGCTACACTAGGTCTGCCCCGAGTCTGAAATTTGGGGTATAGGGGTAGTTCGGACCGGGGAGTAACACAGACCAGGTGGCGTTAGTCTACCACTTCCGGTTTCGGAGTTATGACCCCCGAGCGAAGCCGGGTATCCTGCTAGTGTTATATAAATCATTAATTAGACATTTGTTAACATGCCAAGCCCTAGAACATAGGATGGTTTTGATTTTCAACGGATTTAAGCACGGTTGCCACTAAATAATTTAATTAAAAAGTGGAGAATCTAGACTTCGTTTACTATCGTAGCAACGGTAGCAATGTCAACCAAGACTACACTATTCTTCAAACGGCCATAACTCCACACCGATTGAATTTGACTGAAATTATCTATTGTTGAACTATTATAGCGACAACTGTCAGCTCTTTAACTTTAAGGTCCTATGTCTCACATACCCACTACCAGTGATTTTGAAATCTTGCACCCAGCTATTTATCCTTGCCTCCTTCGTCCTGCACCACTGATAAGTGGATATCCCGACGAACTTTCTCGACCAACCTGGGCCATTGTCATTTATTTGCCCCTTCCACTAAGAATGTGGGAGATCGGTACAGTGGAAAGGTTCGAGGTCCCTGGGAGGAGGCGTAGACAGGGGCGATGATCAAGGGAACTTGACCCGGAATAGATTTGCTAAAGTTAGGCATTGGTGACTAATTTATCGGAGGTAATTTGAACAAAAAAATGGAATTAAAGTAGCTAAGTCTCTAACTCAATATCATCCAACGTCTTCGACATTGAAATCACGAATTATTGATGTTGTCATCTTACCGGGAAAAGATGGGCTTTTGATATCCAATGTTTAAGACAAAATAAAGATATCACCATTGGTACACAAATTGTGTACCATAATGTGTTTCAGTGCCATTATTTTGTAACAAGGGGCTCGAAGAACGAGGCTTGGCATATTCAACAAGTCATGTCAATCTGTGACGTCATATTCAACAGTAGGACGTTAAACCCATTGCATTTCATTTCATTTATTTGGAGATAAGAATAAATACTATCGATGTAGACGGGAATAACCAGATGCTAGAGATTGCCATTCGATTGAGACTTCTGGCGTATTTCACGGAACATAACTGATTTGAAATCAGAGTAAAAACGGAAACGATTGAATGTAAATCAGTTTATATACTTATTACATTATTAAATGTGATGATATTTCAAGGGACTGTAATTTCGCTACTATCTAGCTGTTGTGTATTATTATCTAAACTACTAAGAAAATATGTGATGTCATAAATTCATCAGTACACACGATTTTCTAACATCAACCATATGTCGTTTTCAAAAGACGACAGGCCCTACGCCAGTTTATCGTTACAAACACCATACTTCAAATGGTTTAACGCGTGCCCGTTAGATCACAAGGCCTGTCATTGAGTCTCAAGTGGCATGGTTTCGATCCTCCGCTTGTATGTGACATGGAGTAGGGTCGCCTGTCCAACTTTGTTGGTTTTCTCCGGGTCCTCCGGAATCCCCCCACTGCTAAAGATCCCTACGTGAAAGCGAACTATTGATATAAAATTGAACCATATGTTAGTGTCGGAGGGAACTTTAACCCCATTCACTCACCACACAAACACACACATGAACTTTTCGTCATAGAATTGGGGTTTTAAGAAATGCGAAACGTGGTATTTATGAGCGATGACTAGAGACAATGGGGGCGGTTGTTTTCTGTGGTCTAATAGGAGTACACCGGAAGACTAATCAAAAAAGCCGATCTGGCCTCTCGTGCTTTACATCGTAGTGATGTTAATCCTATAAACAGTTGGAAAGTTATAGTCTATTTCAAAGCGAATGGCTCGGTTCCTAGTGATGGACTAAGACTAGTAATTATTTCCCCTTATTTCATGATGGACGAATGTAGTGCGAGTTATAAATAGACAATTTTTCCCTTAATTTTTTTCTCCCCTCTTCCTGCATTTTTGGGTTGACTTTTTGGTCTAGAATTGGAGAAAAGGGATCAAATTTGCAATTTCATAGCAGTTTTGGGTAATACTGATGATATTACAGCGGAGGGATAGGGGGTGTAAAGTGTCTTTCTGCAGAGCAATCATTGTGTCGGAAGTGAGATTTCCACCCCTGTCAACTTCAAATCAGTGTAGCAAAAAATCTAAATGGCAACCCCCTACAAAATTATGATGAGGAGATTGCCAAATGTTGTCCCCATTGTGCCTATAAAGATTGGAACCAACGGAATGTTGAGCAAAAAGCTACAGCCTGTGATGTTACAGTCATTTAACATTGAAGTCAATGGGCAAATAATTGCTAGTCTGAGTCCTGATGAAATAATGAAGCATGGCCGACTCGGGATGTTGATATTTTTTCAACGGCTTGTTTCCTGAAGTTTTGAATGGAAAGTGTCAGAAATGGTAAGAATACTGCTTTTTTATTGCCCAGCAGTAAGTTTTTTGACTATTTGGTATCAAAATAGCCATGATTGGGGGTATCCGTTGGTTGAGTGTGAATTTTGGGTTGTAAATGTGTAACATTTTGTTCACAATGATATCAAAACATGGTTAGGTCTAAATATTAAGGCCAACTCAACTGCAGATTTGGTCTAAAGTCACGAGATGTAAACAAGACTGACCCTAACCCTAACCCAGTCCTTACCCTAACCCTAACCCACAATCTTGTCAAAAAGCATGTAGCCTAGGCCTAAGCCAAGACCTAGTCCTGACCCTAGCCCAAACCCACAATTGTGTCAAAAAATCATGTGCCCTAACCCTAATTACATGTTGTGACCTTGAACCAAGTCTGCAGCTGGCCTTAACATTTAGACCTAACATGTTTTTGACATCATACAATGAAATGTTAACATGTACACTCCAAAATTCACACCTGTGTGACTTTTGATCAAACATGCAGTTGGCCTTAATATTTAGACCGAACCTTAAAACATGGCATCTACCTTTGAGATTGGCTTAGACTTATGTGACACTCAAGGTTTACTTTTTTACTGACTGTTAACTGGTTTCTTTTTGGAGGGCCAGTGACGGGCTGTTCGCTAGAAATAAAGAGGTTTATTTCTATTTCCAGTTGAAACCATATTTTTTTCTTATTTTCTCACTGTTTTTTATTGCATATTTATCCCCAGCCTCCTATCATTTCAGGTGCCCAGGTAATGTTTCATAGAGTGGAATGATTGACCTCAACACAAGTATTAAAAAAAAAAGAAGCAAAACAGGTGAGATAAATGTGCATTTCATACACTTTAAGAAGTACATCCAACCTGATCCCCGCTTCTGCTCACTAATAGTAATGGGCTGGAAATTTGGTACTGCACAGGCCTGTCTTCTCCCCTTGACATTTAACTGAATGACAGAATTCCACATTTTGACCATTTTCTGGATGTCAATGACCATTTCCCTGGATAGTATTCGCCCCAGAATTCTCATTCTCATCCAAATTTAACATTTCAGGTCTACATCTCAAAACCTGATCTCTTCCTGAACTGGCTTTAGGAGAACGATGATGCATATCAATTTCATCCCTGATCTCTATGACACCTGTGGTGGAAGTGGAGGGCAAATCGTAATCAGTTTGGGTTCCAGCCCCGAGGACCTTTGTAAACTTTGCTTTTTGGTGATGACTTAATTTCCGAGCTTGAAAAGGACGCTTGTGTGTTTATCATGGCCTCTCATATTGGAAGATAACATTAATGGCTTGTGTGTTGATCGACGGTTGTGCATATCTCTTGGTCAGGAAAGTTGTAGGCACCATCGCCATTGTAAATCATTTGACAGGCCCGAGTGAACGGGGCGACCTATGATTGGTCAGCAATGTATCAGATTCCATACCGGGGGGTGGGGATGAAAAAACTGTTGTAGTGTTACATAATCAGATTATTTCAACTTACTTATCCTGTGGAAATACAGCTATATAGGAGATATTTTGAAATTCATAGGCACTGCATGTTTCAACATTTTAGATTTGACCACAATTTGGCACTTGAAACTATGTTAACAGAGAAAAACTGTGTGGTTTTCGATGAAAGTGTTAAAAGTCTAATATTGCATCATGATTACTGTTTTAAAGTATTTTCGTGTTTGATTTATATTGAATTCATCTCATCTTTTTGAAGAATGCATTTATGTTCAAAAATAAAAATGTTCTGTGGAATTCAAAATTGATGTGCTTTTAAATTATCAGATTCCAAACTGGGGGTGGGGATGAAAAAGCTGTTGTAGTGTTACATAATCAGATTATTTTAACTTACTTATCCTATGGAAATACAGCTATATAGGAGATATTTTAAAATTGATAGGCACTGCATGTTTCAACATTTTAGATTTGACCACAATTTGGCACTTGAAACTACGTTAACAGAGAAAAACTGTGTGGTTTTCGATGAAAGTGTTAAAAAGTCTAATATTGCATCATGATTACTGTTTTAAAGTATTTTCGTGTTAGATTTATATTGAATTTATCTCATCTTTTTACAGAATGCATTTATGTTCAAAAATAAAAATATTCTGTTTAATTCAAAATTCATGTGCTTTTAAATTTCTGTCTGAAATTCCGCAGTTTTCTGATGTATTATAGTGTTTGCAGAATGCCGCACAGCTCATCTGAAAATGCATAGATTTTCATATTCTTTGGCCAGGGAATTGCATATATGTTTGTTTATTAGATAACAACAGATTTGTTTAAACTGCAGAAACATGTGAGGTATATAGGACTAAGACTAGTAATTATTTCCCCTTATTTCATGATGGACGAATGTAGTGCGAGTTATAAATAGACAATTTTTCCCTTAATTTTTTTCTCCCCTCTTCCTGCATTTTTGGGTTGACTTTTTGGTCTAGAATTGGAGAAAAGGGATCAAATTTGCAATTTCATAGCAGTTTTGGGTAATACTGATGATATTACAGGGATAGGGGGTGTAAAGTGTCTTTCTGCAGAGCAATCATTGTGTCGGAAGTGAGATTTCCACCCCTGTCAACTTCAAATCTGTGTAGCAAAAAATCTAAATGGTCAACCCCCTACAAAATTATGATGAGGAGATTGCCAAATGTTGTCCCCATTGTGCCTATAAAGATTGGAACCAACGGAATGTTGAGCAAAAAGCTACAGCCTGTGATGTTACAGTCATTTAACATTGAAGTCAATGGGCAAATAATTGCTAGTCTGAGACCTGATGACGTGAATGGGAGTTGTCCCCCTTTGTTCTTTAATGTCACTTGAATTCTATTGAACGCCAATATTTGACAATACAGCTATGATAATAATGACTTTATCAATGGCCTGTAAATATTTATTGGCATTTATCATTATCTAATATACATTGTTTAAATTAACATAACTATTGTAAGTTAAGCGAGTTATATGTAAAACTAATAACGACATCCCAATAAATTACATTTTAACATTTAAAGGGACAGTATAGGCTGAGATAGCAAACTACCGGCCTTCGCTTCCCCTAAACCTGTGTAAACCAGTTCATATTTCAGCAAATAGAGAGGGTAGAATTATAATTGCTCTAAGTTATATTAAAAGGTTTTTCAATCAAATGGAGAGTTAAAGGGGAAATAAACATATTTTGTTTTACATATAATTTGATTGAATAAATAGTTATTTAGATCATAGAAGTTAGTATATTATTCTAGTTCTATGTTTAGATAAATTGTTAAAAGTATAAAAAATTCTATTTTAAAATTTCTTTAACCTTTAAACCTTTCCTTGTTAGAGCCCTGGTTGGCCGCACACTAACTTAAAGCTGTTGTTAGACCTTACTGTTGTGTAAATGTAAACATAAGTGAAGTGAAATGGGGTTTAACGTCCTACTGTTCTGGTCCGAATGGGCTAATGAATACGGGCATACGCCATACAGTGTACTATGAGGTCAATTTTGCCCGGACAATTATAGCGCTACGGTCTACGTTTATTTCGAATTCCAAATGACAGGGTTCTTTAGCGTGCACGCCAACGTGTATACGGGGTCTCGTTTTTTATTCCAACCGAATAGCTAGACACTATTCTTTTGCCCGGATAATGGCGCTACGGTCTACTTTTATTTTTGTTCCAACCGAACGACCAGACAGTATTCTTTTCAAAGCCCTCTGTCCTGCACCACTGACAAGAGGACGCCAGGTTGAAAATCATAGACGCCTTACTCACTGAACCACTGTGGCTCTGTTATTTGTAAAAAGATTTAAACAAACGAAAAAAAGAAGCAAAACTATGGCCTGGTTCGAATGATTAGATAATAACGTGATCAACCAATAAGTGGCACTTTAAACCCCGTGACAGTATGATTAAATAAAAACTGCCCCATCAATTATCTTGTTGAATAATTATTACTGCAACAATTTTATTATTCATATAAACTGGTCAAATTACAACAATATTTAATTTGTATAAATTTAGATTACAGCTTTGTTTGTGGCTCGATGAGTATGGCGAAATGAAGTGAAATGAAATGATAATGGCGACATACCTAACGTCCTACTAACCGGGATAATGAAAATGAAATGGGGGTTTGCAACAATGGAAAAACAAGTTAATCACTTGTGCAAGATTATGTTACTTTCATTTGATAGCTATTGGCAATATCAGGCATCTCCTTACAAAAGACTCTGCTCACACATCTGTTAGATCACTGGTCTTTCTAGACTGGATTACTGCAACAGCATCTCGAGTGGTCTAACTACAAACTATTCAAAATACTACTGTTAGGATAGTCAGTCGCACTTCGAAACGAGTAAATACAAATGAAATGGGGTTTAACGACCTACTGTTCTGCTCCTAAACTGGGCTAATGAAGACGGGCATACGCCATGCAGTATGCTATGAGGGAAATTTTGCCCGGGCAGTGGCACTACGGCCTACTCTTATACCGAATTCCAACTGCCAAGGGGTCTTTTACGTGCACGCCAAAGTGTACACGGGACCTCGGTTTTTCGTCCCATCCGAACGACTAGACAGTTGTCCTTGTCAGACCCTCTATCCTGCATCACTGACAAGGGGGAAACCACGCTGAAAAACCTGGATGAACTTTCTCGGCCAATGCAGGGATCGAACACCCGACCTCCAGGCCAGCGAGCCAGCGTCTTACCCACTTAGCCACGTGATCCCCACGAGCTAATACCCCACCGCTATTAAATTATCTTCACTGACTGCCTGTCCATTCGAGAAAACACTATTCTCTGCCATCAGCCCCAATGCAACTAGTCCAAAATATCTGTCTGATCTAATACATGTGTTTACTCCTCGGCGTAATTTACGATCCCAAGACCAGCATTTACTAGAAGTTCCCAAATCTTTCCCTTCACTGGAATCATTCAAATCAAGATTAAAGACGCGTCTGTTTAAATGTGAATACAGTTGTATTTGACCGAATATACTGTTGTGTATAAATAGTGAAAGATGTCATAGTGTTTGGCACTTTGCGCATGCATACGTGTATAGACATTTGCGCATTATAAATTACACTATTATTATTATATTGAAAATTTCATTCAAATTACTTTATTCGGGGCCAAGTTATCACTTTTTGTAGTTTTGACAAGATGTGTATATGTTTTGTTTATTATCGTAACCACGGTACTTGTATACTCGATTCTTAGCCTCGCTTCTCCATTTTTAATTAATTAAATCATTAAATGGTCGAACCGTTCTCATCTAGTTAACATCTCGAGCAACTGATGGCATCAAGAGTTGATTATGGTCTTGTCATGTTAATAAATGTCTAATTAATAATTCATATAACATTAAAGTCCTAAAGAAAGACCCACAATAGGAAAATTTAACTCTTGAATAACGTATCTTTAACTGTATGTACATAATATGAAATGTAGCTTAAAATTGATAAATTCATCAATAAGTCAAATGTTCATGTTGTTATCTCCTTCATCGACGGTGTCACATCTGCCAATTACAGTTTTTGATAAAACTACAACCTAACGCACAATACTAGATCATTGTATGATCTGGAAAATATCTTTCTAGGGTTAGGGTTAGGGCTAGGTTTATAATTTACATGTCAAACGTACAAATTGAAGCTGTAAACACAGTGGATTGCGGGTAAAACTATTCCGAAGGGTTAGGGTTAGAATTGTGAGTATAAACATGGAAAGATATTTTTCAGATCGAACAAACATCCAGTATCGTGCCAACCTAACAACAGTATTTTTTATGTCATTAAAGAATATAACGATTTTGTCCAGGTTTCTAGGGCATTTAACGTTCGTAACTAGTCGTTATCTCGTGCTTCAGTGGTCTATTAGAATTAATCAAAAATGAAAAACCACAAAATAATAAAGAAGATCCAGTAACAAACCAATCTGACTAAAACACAGATCCTATTTGGTTTCATTTTTTATAGTTCAAGATTTCGTTTTACTTGTCTTCACTACAGTATTGTAGTGTAGGACATCGAAAATATAAAAGAACGAAACGAAATATAGATCTGTATTTTAATCAGATTGGTAATCAACATACCGTTGACTTTTGGACATGTGGAGTGAAAGGTATCGGGAGGGGAAGCCATGCCGTAAAATCCTGATGAACTTTCTCGGCCAACCCAGGGATCGAACACGGGACCTCCAGGTTAGCGCAGGGGTCTTTCCTGTGGGGGAAACTCTAGTATCGAGAGTAAACCCACGAGGTTGAGAAGAGTCCCCTATCTCCAAGCCACATACACTCACCCAAGCGACAGACCAAAGGTGACTGGTCATCCTGAGCTCAAAGCGCGACACACTCGATCACTAGGCCATCCCAAACCCCGACTTGTTGATCTTCGTATCACCCCGATTGAATAACGGAGTTCGGGTTGTAAAGTGCCACGTGACCGACCGGCGGTCCCTTACAAAAAGAAAATTGGGCACGGGAGTCTTCTTCGAGAAATTGGGTTTGATCAAATAACATGCACTATTAATGAATAACAAGTGTATATATATTGCACTGCGACGGTTCAACAGTGTTTTATTATTTAATTCGGATACCGAAATACTATAGTCTCCACTCTGGAAGAGCGGATTGAAACGCCACTGTCCGGGCAAGATTCTCCGCAAAGTACACTTAATGGCATATGCCCGGTTGGTCACACTGAATGTCATATGCCTGGTTGGTCGCACTGAATGGTGCAGAATCGTATGACGTTAAGCGCCATTTAATTCCACATATTGCCAAAGTCACTATCAGACTATTTTCGCTGTGGCATTTTAATCTTATTTAAAGATAAGTTACTTAGAGCATAATCAGGTTTTCTGTTCAGCTAAAAATGGACAAATAAAACATTTAGTATAGAAATTCCATCTTTATTCTGGATAGTCACAGTAATGTCAGAAAAATAATCTTACTACCTTTGGAAATAAGCTTACAGGCGTAAATCTTGACCATTGCATACGATTTTTTGATGTACCCTTTTTTTTAATTGGAAAATCTCATTTTTTGAAATTTTAAAGCACTTTGTTTTGTCTTACTTTTGTTTGTTTCTGTAT